GCAAGCGGTATATACTGGATGATGGCATGGCCACACTTGCATATGGTCACAAGGACATTTAATGGGCAGGACCCCACATTGAACATGTTTCATCATTTTCATGCAAAACTCCCCGCCATTCTTCTGTCTAATATTCCTCCTTTCTTGACGTGTGGAGCTGGCTCCAACACTCTACATTTTTGTTAAATATTTCAGGCTTGTGCCTCAATTATATTGCAGGATATAGTGCATTGTGCGGTATAATAATCTTCATCGCATCATAAAATATTACCCTACATACTTTGGTTTGCAGTGTGTGCGCAGCATAGTCCATATATCATCAAATTGATCAAGTTCAGTATCTGCGGGCATATATTTCCCCAGCTTGAGAAAATGCTTATATACTTGCGTAAATTTATGCTCACAATGATGACATAAAAATGAGATTAAAGTCCATATGATGGCCAGTATGAATGTAGTTATGATGCTTGTTCTTTCGGCTGGTGAGGTTTGAGTGGATTTCTCTGCCACCACATTGCTGGCTCCGAACAGCACTGGTGCAAGCAGGAGTAGTTGCTGAGTAAGTTTAACTTTATTCAAACGCCCCTTCACTTTCTCATAGGCTTCGCTGTTGCTCGCAGTTGATGGCTCGGCTGATGGGGTGGCATTGCTTGAGGAGTCCATCTTGATCTTACTGTACCGGGAATTTTTTCTCACATCCATTCAACCATTAGTATGAGAAAAATTATGGCCAAAAAGGCTGAACGGGGATGAGTCCATACTGAGCGATTTGACCAGTTGAAGTCGTGTGTAAGGGTGTTTTCAAAACTTTGCCAACCTCCTTTTTCCGCCAACCAGGGCGAAACATTGGTGGTCATGTAATCTAAGTGCCAGGTCATGACATGATGTACATAGTGCAATCCCAGTTCCGCTGAATTCTCCATACAGATGTTCGCTAACTCGCTGCTGAATAAGTACAGGGCCACAATTTTAACATGGCTGATACCGTTTTTAAATAGTTCTTTTGCAAATGTAAGAAATTGCGTACGACCCGTTCTGGAGTTGAAACACAGTTGCTGCATCAGCACCTGAAATCTCGATCCACTGCACCTGACTAAGCGACACACTCGTACCAAAACTCTAGAAAGCCGAGATGGTTTCGACTCCGGCGACGATACACATTGTGGTAGGTCTACATGACCTTGTTCTGCCAGTCGATCAGCAATAACAGCAGAAAGCAGATTTCTTGCAGTAGTCTGCATTGTGCACTGCATCATCGTTTCCCTCTACTACTATCCTTGGAAATATACCTCATTTCTTTCTGCGATACCCATTGGTTGAACTTTTCGGGGTATCCCTTCCACTTGACCAGCAAACTACCCTTACGTCTTTTCAACACCTTATCGATTCGAAATGTAGCTTGCGCAGTCTTCATGAGCTGCTGTTTGTAGAAGCTTCCTGTGATGGGTTCATCCGCAAGGTCTTTCACTTTGTAGGTGACCGGATAAGTGGGGAGAACCTTACGAATCACAAATACCTCTTCGGTCCAGTTGGGTGTGTATCCCTTCGCAAACATTCTTTTTTCCACTGTAATGCGAACTTTATCTCCGACTTGAAAGACAGGCTCATCCGCAATGGGCTCATACAGTTGCTCAATCGGTTTCCCTAGGGAGGCTTCCATGGGGGTCATCCCAATTGTACGGTGTTTACTATTGTTGTAGTTGTCGACAAGTTTTTGCAGCACATCGATGTAGACGTTGGTCGAGCGAGCGGTGAAGTGCTTCCACATACGAGATTTTAGCGTTCTGTTGAAACGTTCAACGACGACGGCTTTTCCTTCATTCTCTGTACTGTACATGTGAATGTCGTTTTTCTTCAACCACTCCTTGAACGTTTTGTTATAAAATTCCGAGCCATGGTCCACCCATAGTAGCTTAGGTTTCCGATTGGTTGTGACGGTTTTAAAGGCTGAGACAACACTATCCCCGGTTTTGCTCTTAAGTGGCACACTCCAAGCATACTTCGTGTATATGTCTATAACATTGAGAATATATCTAATTCCTTCGTTATATTCGCTAAAGGGCTGCATTTCTACGAGATCAGCACTCCATACATCGTCCTTGCCGTAAACGTCCACTTTTCTGCGTGGGAAATGTACTCGCTTAGGTTTATGTAGCTCATCGGCAAGATCATCTTGCCAATCCCCACCAACCATGACTTGATCGTTGTGAAGGGTATCGTGAGAGAACGTACAGGAGAGGAATTCCAATACTCCGTCTATACCAGTCTTTGAGAAGACTTTCGCTACCAGGATGGCATAACGTCCGCAGACCGCTGTGCTTCTATCTTGAATGACTTGCGTATTGGTGTACAGGTTGCAGCCGGAATAAACATTAAGAAAACATTGTTTTAGTTCCGGTTCTTTATAGTCTTCGGCCATCTGCATCAATGCACGCCCGAAGCTGTCAAATATCAGAACATTATCGCCTTCCCTACACACCGTCAGCCAATGGTGTCCCCCTTCGGGTTTGTCCAATATCGGGAGTATGTTGTCCGTGTTACACACACAAAACTCGCCATGGTTTAAGGCAGGCAGGAGATCATAGCTAGTCACACCTCGGAACCCGCGAATGTGTTTCAGCGCAGACTCGATGTCCACGTTGCTCAGCTCCACATCCATACCTAGTATACCAGGGATTTTCCTTTCAGAATAGCAAGTGTTCGGTAATAGGGACTCCTTGTATTGCTAGCCACTTGCCGATTCTTGAAGACACTTTTGATAAAGGTGGCATCATCAGCCATGTACTCTTTGAGACCTAACATAAATTGTTCTGCGTTGATAAGTTTTGCTTCTTTGGTTCGAGTGTAGGCGTTGATCATATCTCCTATACCGGAATATTTGTCTGCGGATCCTGGTATGGCTAGAAGCTGAGTTCTTATTGCAGCCAATTTCACATTACTCCTCGAGTGGTTTGGAAGCGCATTAAGGTTGGCTGCTGCTGCAATCTGCTGGAATGGATAACGCGACAGGTGAAACTGATTGATTTGGTTGACCAGAGTAGCATAGTCTTTGAGGATTTGAAATTCGAGGGTATCTCTAGTGTTTTCCATTCTACCTCTGAGCCCCTGCTCATCCTCCTGATAGACTTGGTGTAGTTGCGGCCTTGCACTGAAGTGGCTGCTTTGCAGAAAGGCTTCCGGTATCTTATGGTCTACTAGGAGTTTACCAAATGTATTTATCACTATTCTATCAAACTTTGGCTCCATGGCGGTTTGCAGTGGGATACTAGCGGCAGAGATGTTTCGCCTCATTCTAGCCTCTGCTATGGACCCTCTTGCCATTCCAGAACTCTGATCATAATCGAGGAGATTCGATGCAACAGCATTAGTAACCGAGGATGGGTTTATCAGATCCGGATTGTTCTTAAATGTTCTATCATACATAGCCTTTACTCGAGGGTTTGATTTCACTTGGGAGATAGGAAATGGGCGATCTTCTTCGGGGATATAGGCCAGTGCTTCTCTCACTTGCCCGGAAAATTTCTTATAATCTCCACCTCGTACTGGAGGAGTACCTTGAACCTCCTACACGGTGTCACCTTTACTCAGGATATCCTGGGGGTTTTGTAATATCATCTTCATGGTCTCGTCTCTCTTCTCTGGTGGTATTGGGTGAGTACGGCCGTTGCACTCGATGCAGATAGGTTGGAAGTGCACCCGTATTCGCTCCATTTCTGTACAACGGGCTTAATCAATCTCATCCACTCCTACCCCCCGTGCTTCACAGCCAGCAATCCACTCAAAACTATCAACTTCGGATTCGATTTGGACAATTAGTTTTACTCTAGGGAATGTGACCTCCCAGGTGTCTCCAATCTTAGTGACGGTAACCGCATCCCACTCACTGTGGGTGGGTATAATGCGAACACTGACACCATCCATACTTACTATAGGCAGAAAATATTTTATTCAAACACAACCTTCGATGTTATAGAATCACAGTGAGTATAAAACTCATTGCGTGATGCATCGACCGCTAGAAAGGGTCTCCAACAAGCTTCTAATAGTTTTTCATAGAGTTTATAGACAAGATTAGCTTTCAAACAGGATCCGCCAAATAAAGTATGAAGATAGCGTTTGATGTTGGATTTATCTGTAAAGCGAAAAAGATAGAGGAAGTTGGTATTTATCTTCATATCTTTGATGTTATCAAAGCTTTGAGAGAGAAAGAACACATTAAGTTCATAATGATGGCTATACATGGTGAAAAACTTGTAAAGACATTCCCTCTGACTGCCATGCTTCAGTCCCATGACACGTATATCATCTATATTGACAAAGGACTTGGGCTGAATGTCCGTCTCTTCGATACACTCAGGCATTGCACTGTAATGTTTCAACTCCGTGCCTTCCTGCCTGTATTGCTCCGGTGAAGTATTGGAGATGACGTAAAGTCGTTCCGGCTTTACCTCTCGAAGTATTTCCTTGAGGTAATGGGATTTCCCCATGCTGCTCTGACCCAGAAATAGCACATTTTGTCCCCATGTTTGGAGGGAGGGGAGAATCTCAGAGTACTTGGGTTGAGATCGTGGAGACAGGCCTGCTACGCGGAGTAAAGAGGCAGACCCTCCTTTCAGAGACCGCAGTGATGAAAAGTCCATACTTACTATAACGAGAAAAAATTAAATGTTAAAGCTCTGAGGTATAAACGAAGGGTTATGGGTATTTTCTATGCGAGTTCGGATACGGTCAGTAATGGTTTCTGGAGGGTTTGAGGATCGTCGTCTTCTACCTCTCTTCTTAGCTCCTGACTTGATGCCGGACTGTACTCTCGACTTTGCATGTTCAAACAGCTGCCTTCCCAGACCTTCAACCTCCCTCTTCAAACCGTCTCCTTTGCGCTTCCTTGCACGTTGCCCCCTGGAGAATTTGTTAGTGGGTGGTAGCTTCGATCGTCTTTTCTGAGATCGTCTCTTGCTTGCTCGAGTACTGCTTTTTCTACTATTTCCCTTTTGACCCCGGCCAAATACCTTGTCCACCAGATTGTCACCGACGGACGCTAGCGCCCCCATAGCTAAGGGTGCACCAACGGTTTTCAATATGGGTAGGGCTTTAGCCACGAGTCCCGGTGGAATGCTCAGTCCGCCTCGCTGCATCATGGGTTCACGGCCGGCTACCATCTGACGTCTGATGGACTCGCCGTCTTGACCTCGACCCAAGAGCATGGGAAGAAGCGACATGCCTAACATCGCCCCCATCCCAAGCCCACCCCTCTGGGTGAGCTTTTGGCCTTGTTCGGGGTCTTGCATTCTTTTTCGAAGCTCCTCAGCCTGTGCACCTCCAAAGATGTTTTTGATGAAGCCCCAGATACCAGACCCGTATTGTCTTTCCAAAGTCTGTAGATCACCTCCCCACGCTCGGGGTGTGGTTTCCAAATCTCCTCCCTGCATTGTTACTATAACGTGGAAATATTTACACAGTCTCCCACTTGATGCCTTCTTCCTTGCTCATGGTATACATATACTGGTCGAGACATAATAAATTGACCTTGATCGATGTGCTTGCGTGACTGGGTACATTGATCGGGGCGTTGGCCACATTGGCGAATTGATAATCGAGTGACATGTTACCCCTGACCTTTTCATTGTCCAGCATCCTGTCTAGATTGAGGTTGATTGGTATCATAAAGTAATGGTTACAGTAATCCGAGGCTGTGATAGGTATTTCAGCCCCATAGGTCTTTCCAAAGAACTCTTGAACCAAGTTGTATCCACGTAAATAGCTCGACTTGTTATAGTCATAATAGTGCTTGGCATCACTGTTTTCGGAACACTCCCATCTGAACTTCAGCGGACTGTCGAACACAGATTCATCGTTAATGGTTACTCTGAGTTGGGAAAGATTCGCATGTACCATGGCCAGGCGATTGCTGAAATTACTGGCAGCGCCGCCACCCAAGACAGCATCTTCTCCGAGTTTCAGATCAGAAAAGAACAGGATCATCCTCCTAGGAATATCTGAATTGTGGAGTAGCTCCAGAGTACCTGCATCGTCTGTCAAACTCTTCTGTACAAGCCGAGGGCACCAGGTATGGAAATATAGTTCTTTAGGCAGACGCACTTGATCTACGTATGCCTTATCCATTCTATAGGTAGGGTAAACAAAGTCCAGCTGCAGCAGATCAATGTTGACAGGCCCAACACCTGTTAGACTGTTTCCTCCTCCGCCTCTATCCGAGACAATCATATATCTAGAGAGCTGGGTTTGCGGTAAATCAAACCGTATTTTGATTTGTGTTCCTGGAGGCAACCACGCATCATCCACATTGAAGAAGGGAAGGAATGGTCTCATTTTGAACTGGAAATGCCCTGATGTCACACGGGCAACGTTTTCCAGAACAGTATTACTGAAGTTCTCCTCATTCGACAGGTGGACAGTGGGCCGTCTTTTCAGTGTCGTACCATCGAAATCATCTTCGCCATCTGTGTTTGTTGCAAACGCATAGGCGTGCGAGCGTTTTACACCATACCGATAATTCCCTAGAGGTATATCTTTAACACACTTCTGGGGGTCGAGTTTCTGAAGTCCGTACAGATCAGAATCGGAATATTGGAGTTTAGCCACGTCACTCTCCATAAGGCTAAGAATGTGTTGCACACTCTGCATATCTTGCACCTTGCTAGATTGCGTCACCTCCGTGCCATTTAGTTCCACGCGGATATTCTTGAACCATGAAAATGCAGGGGAGGTGGTACACACCCAGTGTGGATATGATCTGGCTCCATTAGCCCGACTATCACTAACTTCATACCGGAGTTTGACGATAAAGTAACTTTCACTCAAGGCAATGAAATTTGGTGATGATATATCCAATTCGCTGTTCAGAGAGGGTGGTGAACCATTTCGAGAATACAGTCTTACAAAGTTTCTCCCCTCTAGGAGTGATATCTTCTTTTCGGTTCGCTCTAGGATGCTATTCTGCACCACTTTAGTTTTCGACAGCAGCCCCTTAAAGGGGTCTGGGATCTGAGTGGCCACGACGTGCTGCGCCATTCTTACTTGTACGTGGAAAAATTTACTCGATTCTCAGATCCAATAACGCCGGGTACCCCGTGGTGATAAACTCTCCAGTGTTGTACTTCAGCCAAAATGATATTTCCGTAACGCTTGAGTGCGGAAGTAGAGCGCGTTTGTCTCTCTCTCCAAATATGTAATTGTTGATACCGTTGTGAGTTTGAATGGGGAACGTCTTCAAAATCCTCGAGTCCTGATTGTCTTCATATTCCACGGCCTGGGCGATCAGGTCTGTATACAACAACACAAACCTTCTCCCTCTAGTCAGATCAACTGCATACGGTGATGTGAAAAGACCAGGTTGTATGGTCACGGATTCTGCAATCGATCCCAAGCCCAGAACGACACTGGGGGAGTCGGGTTTCAGGATAATTTTTTTCCCGACAGGTACGCTGATGCTCGCTCGGCTTGTATAGCGGGAATAGGAAAACACAATATCTGGGTGATTTGCACTTTTCAGTGCCTCGTTAATGACTGTAATGAGATCTGCAATATCCGCGTGAGTTCCTGTTAGGATGGAGAGTTGAACTTCCCCTTCTTGCGTCTCCACGTACAATTTGTTACTCTCCGTATCAACGTTTTCAGAATGAAGTTCGAACTGGGCAGTGTCCAAACTGATGTGTTTCCCTATGGTATTCAAAGACCTGATACGCAGTGTAAAATGAGGCGTGAACGCACCGGCTATAACGGCAGAAGCGTTGTTTACTGCAGACAGTACCACCGCCATACCTACTGTACAGGGGAAATATTTCCCCATAATAACAAGGATGGCGTTTTGGAGCATGCATTTCCACAAGAGCCCGTCTGAGGAAACCTCCAGCCGAACAATAAGAACCTTGAAGGATGATATTGCGCAACTCAAAACTCTGGTGGGTAACGATAACACCAAAAACACCCTGATGTACAATGTCGGGGCACTACAGAACAGCAAGTTGAATAAAACAGATGCTGAGATCATGGAGGGTCGAATCAAAGAATTCGCGGAGTCAACGGTGATAGATGACGAAACCCATTTGAAAACGGATGGCAGCGTGAGGATGAGAGGAAATCTGCACATGAATGGCAAACGTTTATGCTGGCTGGATTACGACGGTGTGTCGGACACCTGTGCTGTACCTGCTGGGTGGGTGAAGAAGGAATTAGCCCAAATCCGCAAAATGAAAGGTCCTAAAGGTGATCCAGGATTTGGTTGGTATAGCGGAGCAGACCCTCCGTCGCCACCCATCGGCAGACAGGGTGACTTCTATTTGGATGCTACCACCCTCGTTGTATATAAAAAACTCATTGCGGGTTGGACTGCATTCGGATCACTTAAAGGACATCGAGGAAGACCAGGGGTTCCTGGACCAAAAGGAAGTCCTGGCCCGACTGGGGAATCTGGATTGCAAGGTTTAAGGGGCCACACAGGACTGCAAGGACCCCAAGGGCCATCAGGACACATAGGTGCTACAGGGCCGCAAGGACCCCCAGGAAACATAGGGCCCCAAGGACCTGAAGGATCGCCAGGCCCTCAGGGTGACGTGGGACCGCCGGGGCCCAGAAGTCCTCGGGGCCACAGTGCAAAGAGTCTTCCAATACTTTTTCCATAATACGAAAAACCAGAGTGAGATTATAGAAATGTTTCCTTTCTTTTCAATTCAACGAATTCATGCAATGGATGGTTTGATTACGGTTGAAATTGACTGTATGATTCATAAAGAACAATATTCTCCAAGCAAGTGATGACACGTGCACCTTAAATCAGTTTAGAATGCCTGCACAATGGTGGATAGTATATAGATCAATGCATCTGGATAGTCATCATAAGCCAGTGAGGCAGCAAGTGGTAGCTTCGGTTCAACTCCATAATGTTGGATGAGTTCAATCATTAGCTGTTCTTCTTGCTCTGTCATATCCACCGTCCTCTCAATAAACCGTTCAAAGTGAGCCTTACGTAGTTTCTTTGGGGTTATGACCTTCATCCACATTTTGAAGAACACTGGGGAAGTCTTGAATAGGGAAGCATTTCTCATCCATGCATCTTTGCTTCTGGGGAGATGAAGACTGAGTATCTGCACCATCTCTTCATCTTCATAGTAAATGCATGACAGGGCGATGGCATAATTCAGAGCTCTATACTCACTGCCCTTCTTCATAGCGTAGAGGCGTTGCCGAGTTTCAAAAAGCGATGGGTATAGCGGCTTACACACTCCCACCTTCTCGATAAAAGTCCCCAGACTTTTATCCACTGATTCCAGTCGCTGCACATCTGTGTAAGGCTTACTGGGCAGCATTACACGCTCTGCTACATTTGCCTCTGGCGCAAACAAAGAGCCCAAGACTAGACCACATTTCATGCAAACGACAGCTTCTTCCGTTTCTATTTCTTCATGGTTACACCCATCACAAAATTCAACTTCCTCCTGAAACTCCATGGTGCCAAATGCAACTGTAATGATCCTGACGTATTACTTTATCCCTTCCACTAATTGTTATCGACCAATCAGCATACTCTCGTCACCTCACATCCAATCAGCATACCCCACGTCACACTAAGGTTACACACACTTGTGTCATATATGCGAAAAAATGGTACTGGATCATAGCAAAATCCTCCTGGATAATGAACAAAATAACGATTAAAACACAATACACAATAACGACAACAACCGACAACAACAACCAACAACAACCGACAACAACCGACAACATCCGACAACAACAACCAACAACAACCAACAACAGCGAACAACAACCAACAACAAGCAACAACAACCAACAACAACCAACAACAACCAACAACAACCAACAACAACCAACAACAACCAACAACAACCAACAACAACAACCAACAACAACCAACAACAACCAACAACAACCAACAACAACCAACAACAACACCAGCATTATAATGCATGGATAGTGCATGCAGGGTCAGGGACTGAAAGTCGCACGCTAAGTAAGGGCAACTTGTCAGTGCACTTCTACGATGTGCGAATAAAACGAATGCAAGGAAAGTGAACTTGTTGCTGCACATCTACGAAGTGCGAATCAGGGATTAGTATAATGACACGTGTACTAGTCCACCTTGTGTATACGTCTTTTCCACACGCAGGGCCACTGAAGGTCGCACGCTCCGCGTGCGTATGCGCGCATGCGCAATATGTCACTGCACATCTACGATGTGCAAATCAGGGAGTAGTACGTATTTTACTACTCCCCGGTGCGAATGCACCGAACTTGCACAAGTGCACGGTCGCCACGGAAAAGAACATGATGACATTTATGGCATGGCAGGGCCAAAGGTCGAACCCTGGGGGAGTCCCGGGGCCAGACCAAGCGCGCCCGACACAGTGTGCCTTATTTAACCCAAAGGTCAAAGGTCAAACCCTGGGGGAGTCCCCGAGCCAGACCAAACGAGCCCGACACAGTGTGCCTTATTTGGCCCAAAGGTCAAAGGTCAAAAAGTGCACCAGAACCCGCCCCGCACTTACTACTCTCGGGCTAACCTCTCGGGGCAATAATATGCCATAAGGCCCTTGCAACCATGCGATAACATATACTTAAGAGCCGCCTCATACTTGAATGCAAAACTTCAAAAGATCGTAACTCAGTCCAATCTCGCTCAAATCCAGTGATCGAAATATCCAGGGCGAAGAGAAATCTCTCACCTGTCGGGAGAAACAATCCTGAGATAAATCACTCGTAAGTTGAGCCACGATCGCGGCAATTTCAAAAGCGCGCAGTGCGACTTTAGTATTGAGAACTTTGAGACTTTTCGTCAAGCTGGCTTATCCGAATTTGCACGGATTTCACTGTTGATATTGTCAAGAGTACACATCGAAAAAATTGGAACTCCACGATCGAGTAAAATGAAATATCTGGAGCGGGACGCAATTGGACGCATTTGGGGCATTTTTCGTACTGTCGCTGCGATCTAGCGCTGGATAGACGGTGTGCTGGCTATCATGATCGACCTCATTCTCTTCCTCTCGCGGAGACCTTTCCAGGAAGCCCTGGATTGTGAGGATTGAGTGAGTAGAACTGAAGGTATGATCCAAAGAACACGAAAAAATGCACAATTTTGAGAATTTCCTGTGGCTCTTAAAGGGTTAACATCTTGTGAAATCACGCGCATACACTCAATCACATACAAAGAATAATAGAAAAGCTGACAGGATCGCGTTTCTAAAATACAAAAACCCAACCAACACTCATCTCTCTTATGTAGTCTTCACACCCAATTCTGATTTGGAATGACACAATTTGAAACATATAATTATGTCATGTCGATGAGAAAAGGGATATGATGAGGCGATGGTGTGAGTCTAGGCCGACTAGGGACAAGTATGTGGGGAGATCAGGCATGAAGATATGAGGTGTGAAGACATGAGGCATGAAGAGATGAGGTATGAACAGATGAGGTATGAAGAGATTAGGTGTGAAGAGATGAAGTGTGAAGAGATGTGGTATGAAGAGATGAGGTGTGAAGAGATGTGATACGATGAGATGTAGAGTTGTGAAAGTGTAGTTGGTGGCCCTACACTCCTTACGTCATAGAACAGCATTAGTGTCTAGACTAGACTTCACCATTTCCAGCCACTGGCTATGCAGCTCTGTTTTTGTTTGTGGTGTTGAATGGACGGAGCACAAAGGCAATAGAAAAAGTTTTAAAACGGTTTTTCTCCGCATCCGTTGGAACGCCACCACCCTTCAAGGATCAAAAGCAATAATTATTTTATTTGAAATCGGATGGTGAGCCAATATAGTTATGATGAAGAGAGGAAAAGGACAAAATGTTACGAGTTATGACACACTGTGCACCAATGTAACCAGATCTTATACAGGCAGCGAGTGCGACAAAATGGCACAAAACTGACAAGCAGTACTGAGACATTCGGCGACCTGACACCTAGCTCCAACACTTCTCCAACGTGCAAACCAACAACCTTCCAACTTGGAAGGCTCAGGTTCGGAAAGTTCCAAGAGGGGAAGGAAAGCGCAACGAAGAAGAGCACGAGCTACGTGTCACGGCAACTAAGAATGCCGAAAGTTACTGGATGATGACGAAACTAGTAAGACTAATGGACGGACCGGCTTCACTACAACTCGACGGCGCAAAGCAACAGGCCACCCAACGTTGGCGGCTCAAGTTTATGTAATAAACTCTGTCCTTCCCCTCGTAGACCTTTCCGAACCTGAGCTTTCCAAGTTGGAAGGGTGTTGGTTTGCACCTTGGAGAAGTATTGGAGCTAGGTGTCAGGACCCCGAATGTCTCAGTAAACAAGCCTCTTGTAGGGGCAAAGCAAATGTGCTTACATAATAATTATTATGACACAAATGTCTCGGTACTCCTTGTCAGTTTTGTACCATTTTGTCGCACTCGCTGACTGTATAAGAAAGATCTGGTTAAGTTGGTGGACAGTTTGTCATAACTCGTAACATTTTGTCCTTTTCCTTTCTTCATCATAATAATTATCTTATTATAA